GTAGGGAAGATATTTTGTGGACATAATATCATGTATGTCATGCATGTGTCCAACTATAAGTGTGGTGAAGCTGCTTTATTTTCAAAGGTACAATTGCAAGGAAATCAATAAGAGCATATATCAACAGGTGCAGGTGCAAAACTGGAGCTGCAGAACTGTAAGGTTAGCAGAAGGATTACCTGGGCACTCATGTATATGCACATCTGTATGCACTAAGCTGTACTGCATGCTTGTGTAAGATTATGAGTTTGTCTTTCTAGTCGTTTGTATAGCACCACTGGGAACAGGGTGTGAGCTCCTCCTCCTTACAGTATAGGAACAGTAACAGGCATTTGGAAGGCCCTCTGCTGGTACCTCTTACCTGAATACAGAAAAGCCTTGACTGACTTCTATACCTGGTTCTCAGCCTTGGGGTTGTATTTGGTCATCACTGTCATTTTTGTGGGACAGCAATGCTTTATACCAGGGGTCGGCAACATTTTTGAGCAGAGTGCCAAAAACACCCACAACCTCAACCTGAGATGTTGGCATGCCAGAGACGGATGGCAGGGATGCTGCGAGGGGCCTGATCCTAGTTGTGGCAGCACAGCCCTGGCCCCTTCCCCAAGGCACGTGTGCCAAGCCAAATGCTTCTGCATGTCACACTCTGGCACATGTGCCAGGGGTTGCCTACCCCTGCTTTCTACAATATCATTTAAATATACATATACTCCTCCAGCTACTCAGATCCCAAAGGTAGAATTTTCTTTAAAAATGTAACTCCCTTTGCTTCAGTCAAGCAGACTTTGGTCTGTTTACCTTCACATCCAGTTAATTAGAGCATCTGATTAAACATTTCCAAACTACAGTTTACTCCCCAACCGGGGAAGGATTCAAATACTTTTTGAAAACGTATTCTACTTTTCAATTCTCTTCACTAAATGCGTTTATTAAATAGGCATGGAGACAGAACAGATGAAACATTTTCTGTAAGGATGAATGATTTCATGGTACCTCTAATAGATGCTGTTAATGTGAAAAGATCAAATTTACATGCGCTGAATAGGAATGCCAATTTGCTATATATGGCTCAATCACATTTTGTACTGCTCTTTGTGCTAGGGACTAGATTTATGCCACGCCAAGCTGACTTATGACTCCCACAGTAATAGAAATAACAAAATACTGCTGGACAATGGACATCCTTATAACCTTTCTAATTATTGAAAATAATCTACTGGTAGAAAAGAAAATTCACATGCACTGCAGTTCTGGTAAACTCTCTTGCATATGCCATGGTATGCTACAATTACCATCCACTTAGAGGAGGCTAACTTTATAACAAGAAAAATTTTTTTTCCTCCCTAAATAAGGCAATTGCATTTTTTAAGGAAATGTCATTTTTTGACAAAATCGGAAACAACAATTTATTTGCTTTGATTTTTCCCCCCCGTTCTTCTCTTACTTGTTTCATTTGTTTTCTTCCTTCTTTGGGCCCCCTTTATTCTTTTTTTATTTTAGCGCTGAATGCAGTAAAGCAAATGATATCCTAGACTTGTTTTCCTTTTTTCCTGTCCGTTGTTTTTCTTTCTATTGCCCTGTTGCTTTTGAAAACTGTCTCAACTTTTCAGAGTAGCAAAAAGGAAAAAAGAAAAAACAAGAAAAGAATTTGGACTCTATTTGGTTAGCTTGTATTCCCTCTATTAGGTGATCAACTGTTATCCTATCCCAGTCAGCTTAAGCCCCTGAAACACCATTAATAAAAAAGTTGTGAAGGTCCTCCTCTTTTAGACTGCTGCTTTTGTGCCTTAGTTTGAGGGCTAAAATGATAACAGTGGATTCATTAATGGATTTACAGGGACTCAAGGTGGAACAGGATCTGCCTTTGTTCATTCCACTGCGTTCATCAGTCAAGATGGAAACAGAAGAAGGAAAAAGGAAAGGGAAAAAATTTTAAAAATCATCATTTCAACCTCCCAAATCCCCCCTCATTTCAAATATTTGTTTTGGTGAAATGTAGAAAAACGTCTCATTCCAACACCTGCAAAATGACAATTATTTAAAACATTCTGTATTTTTTTTTAAAACGTCCCAACCACCACTAGCATTTTGTGAACTGCTTTATAATATGATCATCATAAATGCCATACTGGAGACTGCCAGTAGATGGCATGGCTTAATGGGCATGTTCATGTCTCCAAGTGGCTTGTGGCTGGGGCTTGGGCTTTGAGGCTGAAGGTGTCCAAGGGCAGCCATGGTATTTGTAGCCATGTGCGGTAATGGTGCAGGGATTCTGCTGAGAAGTGAGCAGTTAGATCCCACTGCGTGAAATATGCATCTGCCTTCCCAGTATCCCAGGCTAAGATGAAGCTGCATTTGGGAGCAGGATTCCTGAAACATGACCAGATCTGAACGAACATGCAGGTGGCAGCCTACCTTGAAGATTTCAAAGCCAGTCGAGAAGTTGTCTCCTTTCCCAATCTTCTTGTACATGCGCCGGTCCTGTTGCTGCAGTGAGATCAGCACTTTGTCCTCAGCCTTCTTGATATCGAAGACATACTAGCAAGGGAGAGAGGGGAAGAGAGACAGGACAGAGAACAACCTGTTAAAAACATGACCTCTTCCAAACTACATGTAAGGCATTACTAAGGAAGACTAGATATGGAAACAGGGTTGTCCACAGTACGAGGGGTCTATATCGAGGATGCATCCTGTGAAAGTCCTAGTGAGAACTTAATTATAATGGTAGGAATTTTGAAACTGAGAGTGTCGCAGATCATGAAGCCAGGGAATCATCTAAGCATCATCCAATAGCTGTTGCTGTACAATGAGAGCTGATGTCCTCTGAAAGCAAAAATTAAAAAGTTGAAAAAAGGAAAAGAGATAATAATAATGAAAATAATGAGAATAAAAATGAAACAAATGTCATGCTGGGTCTCTGTTTATTTGGACACTCAAGTGGGACCTGTTTTTTTCCAGGTATTTTTATATGAATTGTGACCTGCAAATGAAGAAAGGGTTTCTGTTTTATGAAGTAAATAGAAAGCCTGAAAAGGGTTTTGGCTCCACATCCCACTTAGTTTTCCAATGTCAGGAATCCTATTTTGGTCTGTCCTGGATTTGTGAGAGATCTTTGGAAGAGCCAGAGAAATGAAGCAAGAGGGAATTTTTCATCTTTAACCAAGTCATCCTTTATTGTAACCATTTAATGGGCATTTGAGTAGAATTGGTATTAATAAGACCAAACAACTTTAAAGCATTTTATATAGTATTTATAAAGGGATTTCCTCTCTCAATGAATCAGACTTTGGTTGCTTTTTGCTCAAGCTGTCACTATTATCCCAGTTCACTAGCGACTCAGAGCCTTCAGAGAAAGCAGGGCAGACAAGGCCAGCATTTCTAATTCATAAAGATCAGAGTATTTTTTATATCAGAAAGCATCCCGAGGTGCAAAGCTGACATTCTTTTCCTCTTCAGAAACTTAAGTTCCATTTTTTTCTTGCTCTTCCACTAATGGACAAAACTAAGTTGCAGGACATTGGCAGAAAGGGAAAATGGCACCATTTCATGTTAAGCTTGGACAGATGTTATGTCCTCTGACCCCCTCAAAACCTTTGAGTGTGGAGCTAATGAAAAACAGCAACAAATTCTCAGCGGGGGCCAGCTGTGTGCTGGGCTCACCGTGTTTCCTGTTTTAAGCAGACTGCTAGAAGACTTTAACTAGTATTGTGGGAAATACAATCCCTGGAATGGTTAGTATTCTCCCGCCAGGGGCTGCTGATGAGCCCTGCCTGCTGAGCGGGCCGTGAGATGACCTGTGCTGCAATAGTGCCACCTTGCCCTGTGATGGCTCCCTCCCTCCCTTCACTCCTTACCCACGTGCTCTAGGGCAGCACCACTTAAACTGTGATGAAATACAAATCTCTTGTGGCGGAGGCTCGAGCGCAGCTGCCTCGAGAAAATCAATTCCCTCCCAGGCCCCTAAATATTCTTTCTTTCTGTTTTAGCTGTTTTCACTCAGGAATCAACATTTATATGGATGATGTGATAGCCCTGGCTCTCAAAGGGACTCAGCTAGTCTGCAGAGTTGCTTTTTACACAGTGGTGAAGCATCTGTCAATCTTCACTGAGAAATAATTTCAACCTAGGTCAGGAATCTTAATATTTCCCAAGATTATTTGACCAACCGAACAAAGCCCAGGCTCCTGTGTGTGGCTGCTACCTGGCTTTCTATGAGGGCTGTGTCTTGGATGCAAATATAACTGCTGTGTGATGTCAATATTGGGATAAAAAGCACTCGGACTGATGAGAGGACTTGCTTCTAGAATATCCAAAAAACACACCTTGTCCCCAGGGAGGGACAATATTCAAGATAAAGATATCTAGAGACAGAATAGGGAGAGGAAAACACATAGCTGCATCCACATCAATGAGTTAAAATACCCGCTACGCCACACAATGTTGGTAAATCATATGATCAAGTACCACATTTGTGATATGTGTAGTGATTGTGCAGAATTGAAACCCTGAGCGCTCAGGAATTTCTCCCTGCGACTGTGGGCACCGCTGGTTTGCAAACACTTCCACTATACCGATAACCAAGACGTTAGCAAGCAAGAAGAATGAACAGCTGGTTGTGGGCCAGTGTGCATATTTTGGGCTACCAAAATACTTGAATTCTTTTATTTTGTAAGGGGAGCGACGTGCTTACCAGCCCTACTGAAATATATTTACTTCACAGGATGCCTTCGAATTAGACAGCTCCCTCCGGGAGGATAGCAACCGTAATAATCTCTAAACTACTGTAGCATGTGCCAGCGGGACAAGGTAATTTAATTTTGCCTTAAGCTAACATAAAGATATCCCAGCACTGCTGTTAGCAACCTTTTAGTCAACCAGCCTAGAGACAGAGCCTTAATAAAAGAGCTCTTTTCACTGCATCTGGCATGACTCTGAACTAAACATTAGGACCTCTTTCTTTCTTTTTAGCAGCTAAACACGTAAAAATTAGACCTGCACAAACACTGGGAAAATACCCAGAATCCTAATGAGGAGCAGCCAGCCTTGTTAACTGAATAAATTCACAGGAGCACGAGTCCTGTTCAAGAAAGACGTTTAGCACTGACAGAGGAGTAAAGATATGCTTCTCTGCCTGAATGAAAGGACAAACCAGGAATTACAGATGATTCCTAGCCTGAGCTGTGAAGATTGCAGTTCTGTGTTCGCCTGCTACGGAAATGGGGGGAGTGCTGGTAGATGCTGCCCACTTAAGTGGAGAGAAGGAGGCACAAAAACCCTTTCAGCAATGGGGAAGATGCAACAAATGGAAAAGCCAATTTTTGAAGTAATGCAGTGAGCATTACATGCTCACTATTGACATTAATGGAAGCTTTGTGTCTGATGCTGCCTGCCCTGGTGCTGAAAACGTCAAACAGAGAGAGCTGCAGAGCGAGGAGGTGGGGGAGAGAGTGAGCAAGCAGGGTTGAAAATGGAATCTGGCCAATAAACAGGTCAGTCTCAGCTGTCTGGTTCAGGTTCAGAAGAGCCAAAAATGAGTCCTGGATAAATCCTTAAACCGTTCTGATAGGTACTGAAGAGGCTGAAGAAGCACAAAGGCTGGTTTTACAGTCAAACAATAAGAATGCTTTGACTGGAAATACCCAACAAGTTTCCATTCAGGAGCCACTGTTCCTAGCAAGTATTCCCCACTTGGCACTGCACAATGTGGCAAGATTCAGTCAGTTTAAATAGGTTCCCACCTGGGGGTTTTGTAGGAAGGTGGCTTTGTTATCGAAGCATCCTCCCGAGCGGTTTAGCAATGGTTCTGAATTCTTTGTCCAAGCCCCACGCACCATTCTCCTTTTCCAAGTCTTGTGGATACTAAAGTAGGAAGTGTTCATAATCCGGCACACGTCAACATCCGTGAAGTTCTTGCACCAGTCCTCAAATGTCATCCTGAGCCAGGGTTCACAAGCAAAGTAAGGTTAGTAAAATACGGTGAGTGTAAAATCATACCGCTTGTGGCAAAACAACTCACGGCAGCTTCATGCAGCTCAAGATGAGGCACTGCTTTGACTTGACCTTTACCTATGAACTACCTGATTCACCAAAAATCTTTCCAAATAAAAGGCCCACAAGAAAATCAGAGTGTAACATAGGCAAAGAGCAACTCAGTGTGTTCATTTAGTTCCTAAATGTGTTTCAGTCTAGAACTGGATCCTAAAATGTAGGTTATAACTACAGGGTTGATGTTGGTACCACTGGCCTGGCAAAGGGAGACTGGAATTTCTATATTTGCAACACAGAAACAACCAGTTCCCGTCACCCTCTTATAACACTTTGGTCTCCATACATGGGCTACTTAATATTAACATCCACTGTGAGCAGCTGATTGGCCATGGAGGAGCAGTCTGGCCTGCCACACAAGAGATCATGCTCTGCATTTAACTCCTTATTCTTAGTTCTGACAAAATTCAGCATGCTGCAATGATGCACTGAAACTTGGCACATGAGAAGGTTTTTTCACAGTAACCCCTACCCTATGACTGGGGTGATATATTGGTAGGTTAGTAGAGAAGTCAGTAAATTCCTTCTGAACTTTATGGACTTTTGTGATGGAAATCACATGGTGGGCCTCGTGGGTCTGGTGCTTAAGCAAAGGAAACTGTCCGAGCTCCAGTGGGTCTCAGGGATACAACATCCCATGGCAAAAAAACACAGATTGGGATTAAAATTAGTTGATTACATATTTACTTCTAGATAACTTGGTACTGCAGTGATGGGTGAGCTGGAAACTCCTTTAGCACATTGCACAGAAGGCACATACAGGTTTTGATGCAGTTTGGGCAGGTATTTGAACTCTGCTATATACAAATTAGCATGCGAAGTAACTTGGTATGAAGGGAACTTCCCTAAACACTAAAGTATCACAGACAGGCTTTGAGCTCTCTGAAATTTAAGGATTCAATTAGGTCTCAATATTTTCTGACACATCTTTAATATGTTTTTCTTCAGCCGTGGCCACTCCTTGAGGGTCTGAAGAGATACAGGCCCAATGCCAGAAAGTGGATTGTCACATGTTCTCATTTTTTTAAAGATGTCATTCTTACGGTAGTTACGATGCTGTGACTGCTACTAACTGCTTAACTTAGCTAGGCCCCAGTCCAGAACCCCCAAGGGATACAGGCATTTCTACACACCAGAACTCTCCATCATTTCTAATGGTGAGTCCCAATCTCTTACGCTCCGATTCACTGACTTTCTTCCACTCTTCAGAACTAAAGGGGAAAAAAAGAATTGGTTTAGTAAGTGAAACAAACTGCACCTGGAAAAAATAGCTCCTTGAAATATTTTCTGCAGTCCCATCTCTTTAAATAATGTCAGAGCACTAACAGGGTGTATCATATTCAGGAAAATATTGTTGACTCCTATAAGGATATACTTCCAAATAATCATTGATTTGGAAACACTTTTTTGAAAATGATACATGGTTGAAGACAAATTGATAAATTGTAAAGAAGAATGATATTGTTTTTCTGTGACAGTCCTTCCCTTAATATAGAGAGAAGTTGGCTTGGATGGGTAGATTTGGGTGATATTTCCACATGAAAATGACTTTATTCTCTCATGGCCCTCAGAAAGTACATGGGTATATTCAGCCTGTATTCCCTCTTATCAAACTCTTCATCTTGATGGGACTATCTAAATATCTGGTTCTCCCTAAAGAAGAATGCAGAGAGTTTGAGTTCTTCGTGCCATCAGAGAGCTTTGATAAGAAACTCTTACAGGATATGAATAGTGCTTGGCTGCTGGGACACCTCCAAGGTACCAAGAGTAATGCACAAGTGAATAAAGACCTGGCACATCAATTCCCAGCCCCTTTCCAAAGGTACTCTGCTTCTCACAGGACTGACTCCCAAGGTGGAGGTTTATTAGAACATATGTTATTTTATACTAAAATTAATGGGATTTTTGCCTAAGGACTGAGAAAGCACTTCAGGGTGTTGGATTAATCCAGCCAACTTGTTTTCTGTCTGCATCAGACCAACTGAGCCTTTTTATTCAAAATTGAATGCAACTATAGAAAGCAACAACATCCTTGACAGGTGACAAAGAATGGACAGGAAAGGTGGTGCACCATCATTTAAGGGTGCCATATTATTAAGTGTTAGAGTAATGCTTAAATGGCCTAGAAAGAATAATTGAAATGCACTGCATTTCGGGTGATGGAACTCAGCCATCTGAGTGTGCGAGTCTCTCTGCTCTGCCTTAACCAACTGCAAAGGTCCCTGCAGAACAGCTGACCCATAAGATGATCCATTTCAAAACAAGAAATAAGACATTTTGCACTTCTATCACATCTTTCTTCACAGGCTCTTATAGCTGGTTGTAAACAAAGCCTCATCAAAGCCTGGCAGAGTGTTTTACATAGGGGATATGAGTCACAAAGACTTTAAGTAACTTGACCAAGGTCACATGGGGCACAGCTGGGAACAGACTTCTTGGCCTTGACTGATCAACAGAGGTCCTAACCACAGACTCTTTCCAGCCTCCCAATAGCCTGGCAAAAGAATGCCATAAGATGACAGTCCAGAACGTGAAGCATGCAACATCTTCCTCGTTACTCCAGGATGTGGTCATCACTTGCTCATTGCTTGCTGTGCTTGGCAAGAAATGTCAAACCACTGTGTACAGTCAGTGAGCCTCATGCCTCATGGAACGACAGCGTTTCAGACTTTTTAATCATGCATCTAACTCTCGGCATCCCCCATGTGACAGCTAGATTCCTCTGACACCAGAGCAAGCAGCACTTACCTGTCACTCCAGGCTCCGTGCCACTCCCTCCTGCCCCATGGGTTCCTCAGTCTGATCATGAACAGCTTCTCTGACTTGGAAAAGCATCTAAACCTCTTTCCTAGGCGCACCTTCCGAATGGCTGTCACCGAGTAGGCATGGCCAATGATCAGGCCGCTCTCAGTTTCTGCCTCCCGGTCATTGGTGGATGAAGTCTGCAGCCCAAAAAAGAAAAACAACAGAACAAAGGTTATGGTCAATCTCTTAATAGAGGTGGGCTCTAGCCTTATAGGATAAGGTTAACTGTTTCTTTTAAAATACTGATATCAGTAATTAAGATAACTCTGGAACTTGCAGCTTTCCCACAATTTTGGTTATGCCTGCTATTGCCTTTAACTTGGATATACTGTATGGCCTGATGGATATTAGCCAATCATTCTGATGCCTAGCCCTCTATTAGATTAAATTAATACCCATGGAGGAAAAACAGTAACAGTTGAGGCCAAGCGTGATACAATATGTGGCAAGAAATCTTTGTGTTGCACTGTCAAGACTGTGTCATTGTCCTTGATACAAGGATGATATCTGCCAAGGGCACAAAACAACCATCACATGACCACTGCCTACGTGCAGATTGGTGACTAGGAACTCCCAGAAATCAAGTTCCTGTCCCCACCACCACTCATCCATTGCCGCAGGACTTAGTTTCTAGATGTTAACATCCCTGGCAGAGGACTGTGTGTGACATCTTTTAATGTGGGGAAGCCGCTGCACAAGCAACAATCACATGAGCTTGACAGGAGGGAGCCCTGAACCCAGTGGCAAGGATATTCAAGACAACTGGAGACCTCTATCCCACTGCAGCCCTCATCCACCTTCACAGCTTCAGAGGGCCAGCAGGTCCTCAAGTTTTGCCGTTGGGGTCTTCAGGAGTTTGGATCATGCTTAGTCTGGGACCTCACCTCCGATCTGCTCGCCAAGGGAGACCCTACCAGGAGTATAAGACTCCAGATGACATAGCTCCGAGAGTCATTGGACTACACAAGGTTACGGCCCAAGGAGGGGCAAGACTGGGTACCACATTCCTGAACTGATCTAGGGTTGTACATGGCCTCTTGTGCTGAACTGTTCCAGTCCATGGCTTTGTTAAGAATTAGACCGATCTGATAGATTTGTTTCCTTTTTGGCCCCTAAATCTGTATTTGAACCCAAGTCTCTGGAAATATCCGGTTAGCATACTCTTCTGCTGACTTCCTAGTCCTGATTTGCCAATGAGCCAAGAATATTTGACACGTTTCTTCTGTACTTAGATGACCGTCTATCTATTTTATGCACGATGGGATTAATCCCCTGGAGCCCCTGGAGCCATTGTATTTAATCAGTTTTGGATTGGGCTTTGTCTTTTACTGATATGGAGCCTGATCCTATAGACCTCCCTTACTCTCTGTGGAGTCAAAACTCCCATTGTGACAGTAAGAAGTCAGTTATTAGGATCTGACCCGGTGCATTTCGTAGTTCCCTGCATGTAGCATGCAATAATCTAACTCAGTGGTCAGCAATGTAAGACCCATAGGCTGGATCCGTACCATGAAGCCTTTGGATCCAGCCCACAGATGTGAGGTTTTGGCAGTGGGGGACATGTTGTGCAGGTGCTCTCCCCATGCCTCCATGGGGAAAAGGGCCAGCTGCAGAGGCTTTCCCTGTGTGGCCCAGGAGACAAGTGGTGGCGGCAACAAGGCTCTAGCATCTGCACACCCACCCACACCTGAGCCACAACGGGTCAATCCGACTTGCAGCTGGAAAAGGTTGCCTACTCCTGATCCAACTCACATCCCTGTGACTATGAAATCCTGTGTTCTGGTACGAGGGAAGAGACAACTACAACTCTACAATTAATTAGGAGATGCTCCCCCTCCTTGCACCTCTCGGTATATAGAAGCATCTGATAGAGTAGGCTGATGCATTTGAAAGTTTATGCCTCTCTGAACCAGCTAGTATGTAAGGTGGTGCCCTGTCCTACCTTCTGCCTGGGTTTATTAATGTGACAGAGCTCCGTTTTTTGGTTCCTTGGTATAAAGTAACAACAACAATAAACAGCAGCCGAACAAATTCTCGACACCTTTTGTTCTCCAGTTAGTACTGACTGCTGATCTCGAAACTGCAGGACAAATACTGAGGCCTCAGTGCACTCCAGTGACCGCAGCCTACAGATCTGATATGTCGTATCGAGAGCTGCTGACATTTCTCACAGGTTAGGCTTTTTCCCCCCAATCTAACACTTTCTTTCACTTGCATTTCTCATAAATAAGAGAGAACAAGGTTTCCATGACAG